CCTCTCCCTCTCACCCCATTCCCTCATCCCCTCCCCCCTGTCCCCCGTTCTCTTCCTTCCTTTGGGGCGGCACGGTGGCTCAGTGGTTAGCACTGCTGCCTCACAGTACCAGGGACCTGGGTTCAATTCCACCCTCGGACGACTGTGTGGAGTTTGCAATTCTCCCCTTGTCTGCGTGGGTTTCCTCCGGGTGCTCCGGTTTCCTCCCATAGTCTAAAGATATGCAGGTTAGGTAAATTGGCCATGCTAAATTGCCCGTAGTGTTCAGGGGTATGTAGATTAGGTGGGTTACAGGGGTGTGTCTGGATGGGATGCTCTCAGGTTCGGTGTGGACTTGTTGGGCCGAAGGGCCTGTTTCCACACTGTAGGGATTCTATGGATTCCCTTCTCACACCTCTCCCTCTAACCCCACTTTCTCTACCTTCTCTCCCCTGCCACCGTCCCCCACTCCCCTCACCTGCCTCCACCCTCTCTCCCCCACTGTCCTTCCCCATTCACCCTTCACCTACACCTCTCCCTCCCGGAGACTAGGAACCTGTGTTCTGTCTTGGCCATATACAGGTCAGTGGACAGACGGAGTTGGGCTTCCAGGATAGCAGGGACCGGCCAGGGTGATTCCGCGCATTGCAGTGAGCTCACCGTGTGCCCAAGGGCAGGAGCCGCGGGCCATAAGGAACTGTGCCTGGGCGGAGACCGTGTGCGAGAGCCGCCTCTCGCTGTCCTAGTCACTCGCCAGTCGGCGGCGTGATGTCAAACTGTCTCAGTCTCAGTCTACAGCTCTTTTCGAGGTTGGAGTTGGGGGCATGAGGAGCTCTACAATCAGCCTCTGTTCCTTTGTCAGAGTGGGATCATCAAGCTCTCGGCAAGGCGCTTCTACACCGGCTCTAACATTTTTCATCCGATATGGCAGCGATTTCTAAACCGAAAGGAAACCCTTTCTCCTTGCCCACCGTGTGAACTTCAGCCGCTACCGGACAAACTGCAAGAATTAACACCTCGAGCCCAAATGAATTGAAAGAATTAAATTGGGGAAAAAAACTCCAAAAAAACAGTTTGCCAGATTTTGAGTTCTGTCTTAATCTGCGACTTTAAATGGGATCGTCCAACTGGTGAATTTTCAAAATAACAGGAATAAGTCCATTTTTATGATAAATTCTCTCTCAGAGACTCTGTCCCATCCCCTTTTTTCTCCTGTGCAGCCAGACAGGTGATGGGCGTATCAGTCCGGTGCAGTGTTGACTCATGGGTTTTTCAGTTTGGTCTGATCTGAACAAATATGCAGATCTACCGGCTGGTCTACTGCTGATGCCAGAGAGAGGGAGAGAGAGAGAGGACGGCAAGGAAACGTACAAATCCAATGTGAAACAAGAAAAAAAATCCTCACACTCTAGTTACTTTTCCGAGGGATGGTACTGATTTTTTCTGCGACAGGGGCGCCGCTGAAGCTCCTAAATGATCGATTCTCGCTGCAGGACAAACTTAAAGTGAAACGAAATGAGAGCCACGGTTTATTTTATTCTGGGCTTTTGCTACCTGACCTGTGCGCGTACAGAGGTAAGCTATTACTTTAAAGCACAATAACTCAATCTCCTAATGGCTGCCTGCTGTCCGTGCTCTCTTTATTTATCTTGAGTGATAGCGGATGGTTCTTCTGCTGTTTTCTTTGAGCTTTTGTGTGTTTTTTTTAACGAGCTGTGCTTCTGTTAACCAGTCCCTGGCAGCAAAGCTGGCTCTGTGCAATCGCAGTTCGTCTGCTAGACAAACTTTGCTTCGGTTTTTCCGCCAAATGTGCTTGCAAATAGTCTCCTCCGTTAAAATCGGGCAAACGGTTCTGTTGCTTTTTGTTTTATTCCCTCAGGGAATGGATATTTGTGCACTGCACTAAGTTGGTGCATGACAGCATTTTTTTGCTGCAGGTCTTGGCTTGTGCTCCGAAACGCCTCGGTGTTCACTAAGTGGGCTGGAGCAAAAAAAAATGGGAAAAACGATCGTGAGCTGCCAGAATGGTGACTTTTATTATCTTCTTCCTCCCCGAAAGACACCAGATCTGGAAGGGAGGGAAAGCAGCACAACAAATTATTATTATCGCTTGAAGGCTGGGTTTGGGGGCAAAGTACCGGCGTGGCTGAGGTCTCTCTGTTAGGGCTTGTGTTTGTCTCCGATCAAAGTATCAGACTGTGCAAGAGTTACAAGGAAACAAAACACCAGGTGCTCCACTCCGAGCCCACTAACTTTCTGGTGCGCTTGATTTAGCACTGCTACATTTTATTCGGCCACCGAATCGGTGAGAACGAGTGCAATGGTGGTTTGCAAAACGATCTTGCTCTCTGTCGGTCACTTCAGAGCTGTTTACTGTGTGAAGCTGGGGCTGAGCATTCGACCTGAAGGCAACATGCTTACAACCTCAAGTGCGCACTGGTTTTACTCGGCCTGTCTCAACCCCGTTTTATACTGCATGTCTTCCAAGAGTGGGTCAGCTCTGCGCTCGTTCAAATGATTTATAAAGTTTCTATAGAACTTGGAAAGTTTATTTTTAATTAAAACTTTTCACCGGGGAGGAAGATGCGTCATTTGTTTTGTCCATTATTTTATTTTTGCACTTATTTTCGCTTATTTGGCTCATTTACTTCCAAGGAAGCTGAATTTCCCCCAGAATTGCTTGAGAAGCTGGCACACAGTGATATTACCAGCATCCGCGATCTTCAGCGCCTCCTGGAGATTGAATCCGTAGGTAAATTATGTTTATATGTATATATTACCTTCTTTGTCTCACACATGGGACCACGTTATTGCCCTGTAACAGTAAACCGCACATTTCACGCTGCCTGTCATGTTTATTAATTGTTTCTTGTGTAATGAAATGAAGTCTATGGACTTCAGAATCTAGTCTTAAAACATCAATGCAGACAGGCTGCGAAGCAGCTAGCGATCTCTGTAACATTACAACCCTTGTGTGGAAACCAGGGCGTCGCTCTCAAGGACCGGGGTATTCCACTTTGTTAAAACCCCTCCTCCCCACAAACCCACATAACACAAAAAATAAACTGTGAAGGGCTTGGAACTGCAATTTTGAAGTCAGCCTATGACGGCACGGCGAGTCCGCCGTCCCATACTAAGCAAGAGTACTTGATGTTTGAGGCGTTTATAGTAGAAACACCGAACGGATATTTTATTTGCACAGACGGTTTGTTGTATGTCATGTGAATTACAAGCGTCAAAACTGAAAGACAGCAAGCACTTGAGACTCCCTCAGTAACGGTATTCAGCACATTGATCCGTTTGACCAAAGGATTGATCTCCTTGCTGCAGAGTATAAGCGTTAAACATGCCCTCGAAGTAGACAGCACCCCCTAACAACTATCCCGAGCGAGTTATTTGTGGAGAACATTCAGAAATATGTTAGGTGATAGTCATAACACAGAAGCACTTGCAGACAGCTCAACTTCAAGTACATTTCATGGTTGAATGTTTCATTCGAAATACTGTATAACGGAAGACATAAAATAGTGCAATTAAAAGCCTATATATTTATCAAACCGTGTTCCAGTAATGACGATAAACCTAGAAGTATACAATTTTAGTGGAAAACGGTGGAGTGGGTTATTCAAGTCCACTGTTTTCCTGACGCAGAAACTACTTGATCATTGAGCATTTAACACATTCGCTCCATCCATGTACAGTACTGTTTTTTTTAAAAATATCAGGCCGCTGGAAGCTTAACAACCACTGATTCTTTTTACAGCTTTTGATCAATTAACAACAATTGGACACTGAAGACAACTTTTTAAAAATATTTGAGCAAGGAAGAAAAACCTTATGTAGCACCTTTCACACCCATGGGGATATTCCAAAGAACTTCACAGTCACCAAAGAATCTTTTGAACTTCTGTTGCAATATGGCATCCAATTTGCATACAGCAAAATCCCACAATAGTAATTACCAGATAATTTGTTTTAATGATGTGGTTTGAGTGAAATTGCATCAGGGCATCCTGCTTTCTTTCAAATAGTTCCATAAAATATATCTGAGAGGGCAAGCTGATCCTTGGTGTAAAATCTCTGTCTGAAAGACCGATGAGATCTTGCCACAGTGTTAACATGGTAAATTAAAAACCTATGTCACTAGGGCTAAGAATTCCTGCCATTCTCTGTGCTGACATTGTAAATTAATTCATAAAGGTTTATCTCCAGCAACAGATTTCTCAAAATTGTGAACATTATAAGTGATTCAATTTTTTTAAAAAGTGCATGATCATAGTTTCACAAAGAGCCAAGTAGGAAGGTATTATACTATTATAATACACAGCATGTTCTTACCCTCAAAGGGAGAGTGTGGTGGAAGTATCCAGCTTAGATACGATATCTGTGAAGTAAAACTGTTCCAACAAAATCCTCTTTCTGGTCATTGCATTCGTTGGTAAACAACAAAAACTAGCTTCTCTGTTTTTATTTTCCTCTTGTGACCTGAGTGACTTCACACTGAATACAAACAGACCTGAACACATGGGCAGGACCCAAATGACCTCCGAGCCGGTTTTTGACAGGTCAGTGAGTTGCAGGCTTGTGTTGACTGATTTTTGAAGTAACCTGCTGCATGATGGCCAGAAGCAAGTCAAAAAAGCTGCAACACAAGTAACACATCTGACTGGATATAAACAAAATCCTGATATGCTTTGATATTTGCATTATAGTTGTTGGCAACATCTACATACACAAAATGTAATGTTAACACAAGCTGTAACAGTATTTGCAAGTTATTAAAATTCATGCACACAGAAAACCTTAGAACAAATAGATCAAATAAACAATGACTTCCATAAATGGGAGTGGAGTAAGAAAACATTAACATATGATTCAGACAACTGTTAAGTCAGAAAAATAAATGTACAGGAAATTTTCAGAGTAAATATCTGTTCAGACAGCAGTAGAGTATTGCACCATACCTAAACTCTTCACCAACCCTCCACCAGTTCCCCTCAGCCAAAAAAGAAACAAACAGCCCAGGTTTGGAAGGAGAAAAATCTGTCAGGATCCCTAGCTTGATCTTGGTCCAGCAACTGCTTTTGAAGGGTAAGCGAGGACAGGCTCAAAATTGACTCTCCTTTTCCCTGATAAGAAAATGGGAACTGAAAATAACATTTTCAAATTTCCTCGATATTAAAAAGTAAAAATGTGAATTTGCCTGCTACACATAAATACTATGACCTTCCTAGGAATTTAAGTGTCATACTACAACTGTGACCATTTAAGTTTTAGTAAGTTCTACAATGGTACAGTTTTCAATTTGCAAATTTATATGGGCTAAATGTGGATAAGAACTGTAGCAGTTAATACTGCTCTAGTGCTGTTCATTTGATGAGTTGGTAGGTAATTACATTCCCTGGTATGGCACTGGCCTTACAGATTAGAAAAGCCCTTTGTTTCAGTTAGTCTCTGGTGGGTTCATTGATCTTGTGACAATGGCCAAGATATTACAATCGAGCTGTATGTTCCCTGGTTATGGCAATGAGGTGTGTGCATGTTTTTACGTTGGACAAGACCAAGTTGGGTTCTGCTGTGACTTCTTCACCTTTACTATAGTCAAGCCACCTGCAAATAATTGCCGTCAAAATTGAAAACACATGGGCAAAGTACTGGTGGGTGCCCAATGCCTGTGGATTACAATCCAGCAAGTAACAACTTGTATTTGTACAAATCCTTTTATCATAATAAAATATTCCAAGGTGCTTCAAAACAGTATTATGATTATAAATACGTCACACACATTTAAGGAGATATTGGGTAAGAGAACTGAAAGCTTGGACAATGATAGGTTTTAAGGATTACTTTCAAAGTCAGAAGTTGAGGTAGAGAGATATGAACGTATGGATTTCCAGTACTTGGGGCCAAGACAACTGAAGGTGCAGCCACTAATAGTGGAATGATTAAAATTGGGGATACTCAGGATGCCAGAATTAGTCTGCAGATATCGCAAATAGTTGTGGGGCTGGAAGGGATTGTGCAGAAATGGAGGAGTGAGGACGTAGAAGGATTTGAAGATCAGAATGAGAATTTTTAAAATCAAAATGTTGCTTGACTGGAGTTAGTGTAAGTTAGTCAGTGCAGGAATGAGAGGTGAATAGGACTTAGTGTGAGTTAAGACATGTTTTAAATGGTCTCAGGTTTACGGATGAGAGTAGTTGGAAGACTAGCCTGCAGTGCGGTAGAATGCTGGATTCTTGAGTTAATGAAAGTGTGAAATGAGAGTTTCAGTGTCACTAGGGTGGACTTAGTGATGGTGGAAGCATGAGGCCTGAAGCTCACCTTAGGCGTAAAATATGACACAGAGGTTACAAACAGATAGGCTGGATCTTGGATTGTTGCCAAGGGCAAAGATCGAGCAGGTAGCTAGGGAATGGGATAGCAAGTCAATTCACCTGAGAGGGAGGGTTCTAAAACTCCATCAGTGCTGTCTTAATATTTTCTTTGACCTTTCTAATTAATTTTCTTCTTGTATTCAGACATCAATTTTCTCCTTGCTGAAATGTTCACATTTATTGAACGCTCCTTAAATCTTTGTTTGTATTTTTATCCTGTTTTGCCAATTCCACTTTCAGCTCAGTTTTTTTTATTACTTTGAGCTTCTTCTGTATTACTGTTGTTAATTTTTAAGTAATTGCCTATTTTTCCATGTTGAAAATGTTTTGAGTGCTTTCTGATATGGAAACTGACAGATCGTAGAAATATTGGTGATTTGGGCCTTATTCTGGATCCTTAACCGTCTAATTTAGGTTTATCACATTCCCAGAACATGGGAGCAAACTCAAAAATCCATGTAGTTCAACCAGCTTCAATAACTGTAATATCTGTCTCATGTTGGTACATCTTACAGTACTCTTTAACTGGAGACTATTATTAATTATAAATAGACAATGTAGCATGGTATCCTCAAGAAAACCAATTCCTAGGTTGTGGGATATTGACAGAGGTGCAGAAAGCTTTGTAGTGTTATTAAACTTGAGATGGTCTGCTGAAAAAAATATGTGATTGCCTTCTTGGCCAAGCTTGTGTTATCACATATTCTCAGCAATAATCACTAGTTGGAGATTACTTTTCAGTGTTACATTGAAATGTTACTTAAATCTGAAATAAAGTATTGCTGTTTATGTTAGACATGATCAGTAAAAATATATATTCACTGCTTAACTTTGATAATGAATTTGATAAAAAAGACAAAGACAAAGTGAAATGTATCATAAGTTCTGATAAAGAAATATTGTAACATTTCACCTAGTAGTGTATTGAAGTTCAATGCCATCACAATTTAAGGACAATGCAGACCTAAGTATTGAGAAATATTCTCACGTGCTGTCTCCTCACTGAATTGTGGTTCCATATCTGCTAGACACCTTCCAGTACTTCATTCCAATGTCTACTCTTCCAAGTGTGAACCTGGGCATGAAATCTGTAATACAGTTGAACCTGTTACATGCCCTTACTGAATAACCACACTTGCAATCTTCCTAAACATGAATAATGATCAAGCGTATGATCAAGTGTGGGATTCTCCTGCCCCAGCATTGGTTCGTGAAATTAACTGTGGTATTCCTGCTGAAATAATTATTTTAGCACATATGAGAAAATGAAATTGAAACTTTCTAGTTTCAGTGGCTCAGTGCCACACTACATTTAATCTTAAATATGAACCTCCAAAATGTTCTTAGATATCATTTTATCATGTAGTTTGTCAGGAGAACATTGAACAAGTTTCATGCATGGAGGAAAATTTATGTGGAGGATTGCACAGTTGTACTATCCTGTCCAGTTTTTCTCTGTGCTATACCTATGTGATTGATTTATTTCCAGATTTCTGAGAGTTAACTGATCTCATGTGAGATTATTGGTAGGAATACTCAGAGTGGCTGCAGCATCCCTATGACAGTGAAGGGAAGAATCAATTAAGTTTCCCATTTTATTATTATCCAGCGGCCCTTTCTGGAAATGTTCAGGCAGAAGTCAGGATTACCAATGAAAGCTATCCACCTTCTCCTAGCCCACCACACTGTCAAGGTACAAATGTGAATTTAGGCCATTTGTTCATCCACAGCTGGGAGTGGAATTCTTAGGGACTCAGAAATTGCAGATAAGGAAGATGGGGTTGAAAATGACTTCTAAATGTATCAATAATGATCATTGTGTGGAGAAAGTAACTAATTGTGTGTTTTTACGTAACAAAATACAATGTGGGTGATACTGGATCCTTACTTTTATTTCTTATACGATGTGGGTCTTGAAGAATGGCTATTTTCTTGATTGGTGTATTTATAGTAACATTTAACTTGTATCTCAAAATAATTGATGAATTAGCACACATTCACAATCTGTGAGTACTCAAAGGCAAATATTGCACTTAGCTGTTTTGTATTTTGTATGCATTTTGCACTTTTAAAAAGAAAATCATCATAGCTCACATAATAACCAAGTGGCTAAAAGCACAATTTGGTGTAATACGGAGGGAAACCGGCCTAGATGGATTGGTTTCCATCTTTGGTCACTGTTGCATTCTCTGGTTTTCATGAAGATGAGGAATAGGATCACTATATTTAATCTTAGAATACATGGCCTCCAGCTTGGAACATCAGATGAGGATAAGAAGGGCTTGGCTGCGATGATGCTAGTAGGTAAATAGTATGCTAACTGTTGTGCTATGCTTGTGAATTGACATTGGATCGTCTGTGAAATATAAACAAAATTCTGTGGGTTTGATTGCAGGAATGATGACAGTCAAATAAAATCTTAAAATGTGCATTTAACGTTAACATTGTGCTTGTGTATCAATGATATGATTAGTTCTAATATGTTCATTTACCTCATATCACAGGGGATGATGATCACACAGAATCTAATTTAAGGTCTCACAGTATTAATGCAGTAAAACATGAGTACACAAAGCGTTCAGCACCTGTACGCAGAAGGCGAAGTATTGGTAAGTTTAGTTTTATCATTTCACTTTGTAACAGTATTGTTTAAGTATTGTATAACTTTATTTTTGTTATTCAGTAGTACCTATTTTGATACACCAAGCAGTTTATAATAGAGATTTACCAGGACTATCAACATTGTGAAGATGGAAGTGATTACAATCTGAACTATTCAAAATTCTTTTGTATTAGACTATTTATTTCAATATCACAGAATCTTATGGTGGTAATGTGATTCTGACTTTGTTTTAGCAATCAGTTGAGGATCAGATCAGATGTCATTTCATTGGGGTGATTTCAGTGTGACGTGGACTTTGCTTACTTTTAAAGTAATACAGATTGTCAGCTCATGTTCCCTTTGTTGGTGATTTGAGGTGAGATTCTGCAGTATGTTTGGATGTACTATTCCTTTGTATCATGCAGTGGGATAGAAGTGTCTTATTATAGTGTAGTTCATGCCATTTAACTGTTGAAACTAGCAATCTGTCAGTGTTCTGCCCCCATCTATTTCCAGCACCCTCCAATCAAACCATACAGAAATGGACTTGAGCAGCTCTGCACCTGTGAATGTTATCTGGAATAGCTCCAGCTGTAGTTTGGCTCAAGGACATAACACACCTTGCAGTTGACTTAATATTGACAAAGTGTTCATGCTTCTTGTTGTTTATGCTATTATCTGAACTCCTTGATGTCACTGCCCTCTGATATACTGTACGTAATTTCAGTAGAACTAATATGAGACCCATAGTCAAAGAACTACACAACGTGGACTTTTTTTTCCAATTCTCTCCTCTCTTGGTAGGATTCCACCTATTCCAGTAAATCTTTACATGACTGTTCCTCACATGAAAAATCAGATGGGAATTGTTGGCAAGTTGTTCCACTTTGTTAGGTGATCCTGCCATATTCAATGTTTGTATGGCTTGCACTTTTAACAGGCTACCTAGATAGCAAAGGGAGATCTGGCTGATTTTGTTTACGCCTTCCCTCAGCTATGTCCGAAATAAGCTATCAACTGATCAGCTGAGCCATCAGAGCATTGTTTATGTGCAACTGGAAGCTTGCACATATTGTGTTGCTGGTTTTTAATTGTTGCATGTCCATTTAGAAATATTGACATACACCATCTCCCTACCCCTAACTTCCTAAAAGACAGTGGGGCAAACTCATCAAAGCTGTGTATTGAGAGCAGGGCTTCATTAAATGGTAGCGCAAGGTTATAACTTTATAGAACTGATACTTTCTGGAACTGGCAAGGTTCTGCCTGTTACCCAAGGAAAAGCAGTACTCTCATTACAAAAAAACAGGTTATGAATATATAGCACAAGTAATGTGCTAGAAAGTCAATAAGTACAGAATAAATGGCTGCAGAGATCCTGCAAGTTTTCTTTACAGACCCCTACTTAGCAAATCATAACTTTGTATCACTGCCAAACTTATGAAAAAATACATTGCCAACTAGATAGAATACACTTGATAGCTTTAAACGTTGATTAATACTTAAATTAAAGACACCTTTTGTTTTCGCTATAGTTTACATGCAGATGTGCTACTTCTTTACTTTGTCCCCTCTAAATTGCTTCACATTGTATCAGTTGGTCTTATTTTTGAATCATAGTGGTGATTCTATAATCTGTGGAACTGTACTCAAGTAGAAGGGGATCAAAGATTGAGGAAGATATGATATATCTTTGTTTATGGCCTTGTGTCACTTTCCTTGGAGTCTGGTGGAGGCTTGTTGAATCAGTATGTGATGATAAGTAATATAAACGACAGGGTGCTATAGGTGCAACATGTACGTTACTGAATGTCAGGACCTGTGAGCCATTACTTAGTAAGTCTGTTTTCTACCTTAAACAAATAGCTGGGTGAAGTTTTGGTTAGAGAGTGTGTCATTTCAGTTCATGTTAGCTGTCAGCTGAGGAGGAGCAATGGTAGAGGACTAAACAAGCTGCCTCTTCCACAGGGAAACTTCATTGTGCCAGAGAATTAAGGTGCACAGATAATATAAGATAACCTAAAATTGTTATAAAGAAAGAAAAGCAAAGTTCACTTTGTTATATGTTCATATTGTGGATTTAGATGAACTTGATAAGATACTTGAGCTTTGTTCTTGCTGTCATTGTTTATGATCCTGTCTGAGCCTGAGGTTGACTTCTGTTTTGTAATGAGCATCCAGGCTCGTTAATGTACATATAATCATGGTCTTTTCCAGAAAATGTTGCAATTCGACATCTGAAACATATTGCCTAATATTAGAATGTTTTAATAAAAGTTAACAAAAGCAAAATTCTGTGGATGCTGGAAATTTGAACTGAAAATGGTGGAAATAGTCAGCAGACTTGACAGGATCTGTGGAGAGAGAATCAGAATTAATATTTCGGCCAAACCTTGATGACCAACTTTTTCCATTTTTATTTGAAAAAGATGGTCATTTAGAAATAGAATTCCCTATAGGTATCTGTTATTCACCATTTGCTACTTAAAATGGTTCTGCCAGTTAAATCTCATTATCCCCTCGTCTGCTGAAAGCAGTGGCACAACGTGAGACATGGTTCCATGCATGCTGTGTATTCTTTGATAGCCAGTCTTAATGTGTCAGTTTAGACAGTGTGTAATGGCAGGATATTTGACCTTAAAGTATCACAACTGAACCTGATCCTGTTCTCGCCCGACATATACATGATTCCTTCTACGAGCAAATATCATTGGACAGCGATTTAGAGCAAGTATTCTGCTCATTCTCCCTCTTCTAGATTCTTGTAGTCAACCCTTGCCTTACAACTTACCATAGCAAGTTCAGACAACCTTTCATCTGGCGCTTTCATGTCAGTATAGTTCTGTACCAGCATAGCTAGTGGATTTACTAATTGAGTAGGTTATTCGGGCTCATACTTTTTTTTTTACACATTTGTTTACCTTAAAAACAAAATGTAGCACTCGTTTTCTAAAACACCAACAACTATAGAATAATACATTCAGACTGCTGAATGGTTTATCCTAGAAATTTGTTGGCTGGTAATTTAGTCAAATCTTTTTCATGAGGAAATTGCCAAAACAGCAAATTATCAGTCATTGCGTTAGTAAAATGAACTTAATCCTATTGTAGTGTTATAATTCCAAGTTACAGATTCCAAATCCTCATTTTAAATCTATAGATTTTCAAAATCATGTTTTAAATCGAATACATTTGTATTGGTAGCTTGTGTACTTGTTGTTTATGTTGATCCTCTGTTAATCAGATGGGCAAAGACAGTTACGTTGCACAAAGCACAATATTTTACTACTTATTCCCAGTACTGTGGTATGAATTTTAAATATGTATAAAATTAAATGGCCATTTATTAATATATTTTCCCTTTCACATTTTTTTCTAAAGTGCTTTGTTCTTAGTACACTTGAAACATACTGTGGAAAATCCTCATATAAACAAACCTGCCCAAATAAATTCTTTAAATTCAAATTCATGTCCCAACATGTTGCATGGTAGCTGAAGACACACTGCACTGCTGTAAAACTTGTTTATAGCTGTATCAATGTACCCAGAACACTCAAATAACATGAGACTGTTTTCTGTCAGCTATAATGATTTTCATTTGTTACGTTTGAGCAAATAGTAACTGAGCTGCGTGGGTAGACAAAACTGGGATAGACTCCCACTGTGGCTGATGATCAACTGGAATAGAGACTAAACTGCTATTACATTTAGTACATCCATGTATACTAGGAACAGTCCACAGAGCATTTATGATACATAGGTAGTGTGTGATTTTTTTGAAATCCTGAATAATATAACAAAATTTGGAGCAGGCATTTCACACTCCATATTGGTGCTGAACTTTTTTTTTAACTTGCTTTTCACTTGGTCAGAAAGTGAAAACTTACACTAAAGAGCAAATTTTGTTTTACAGAGCTCCTTAGTTCTGTGTAGCAGTAGCAATAATTGAAAGGAAGCCCGTAAAAATGAAGAGAGAAAAATGTGGCACAACGATGCCACCCGAAGGTTGCAGGAACAGCACCTCATATTTCACTTGGGAATCCTGCAGCCCAATGGTATCAATGTGGACTTCACAAGCTTCAAAATCTCCCCTCCCCCAACTGCATCCCAAAACCAGCCCAGCTTGTCCCTGCCTCCCTAACCTGTCCTTCCTCCCACCTATCCCCTCCTCCCACCTCAAGCCCCACCCCCATCTCCTACCTAATAGCCTCATCCTGCCTCCTTGACCTGTCTGTCCTCCCTGGACTGATCTATCCCCTCCCTAACTCCCCACCTACACTCACCTTTACTGGCTCCACCCCTGCCTCTTTGACCTGTCTGTCTCCTCTCCACCTATCTTCTCCTTTATCCATCTTCTATCCACCTCCCCCTCTCTCCCTATTTATTTCAGAATCCCCTTCCCCTCCCCCATTTCTGAAGAAGGGTCTAGGCCCGAAACGTCAGCTTTCCTGCTCCTCTGATGCTGCTTGGCCTGCTGTGTTCATCCAGCTCTACACCTTGTTATCTCAGATTCTCCAGCATCTGCAGTTCCTACTATCCATAAAAATGACGATTGGGCAGGCTATGTCAATCTGCGCCAAAGTCATGTTTGGTTGTGCCCTGGCTTGGGGGGTCATTTGAGAGAAAAAATAATGGTGATATACAATAGTGTACAAATTGTTGTACTGATTTTGTACATCTAGATGTCACTATTGTGCCTCTAAATAGTGGGAGTGTTTCCAAAGTTAGTGACATCCAATAGCAAGGAAAGGATCTTTAAATTCACATATTCCATTGTTTCACTAATATTCAGGTGAATGGATTATTAATAGAGGAATTGAAATGTACCTTGTTTATTTTACCTAACTTGTCCCTCCTTGTTCCCGCCACTTCTAACTCTTCCTGCCCTAAATGCTCTTATTGGAGTACCATTTCTTGTTGTGGAATGTCAACTCATGACCATTCTTGGTGTGTGTGTGTGCTCATGACTGGTGGTGGACTTGGCATGGAGTTTGGGGTAGAGTGAGG